CAGAGGTGAGGGCAGTGATCCTGGCAGGGACACAGAGCAGGGTCACACAGAGCTCTGCTTTGATGGCACAGGCAGCGGAACGAGTCCCCGTCCCCGCTGGGAGCCCCTCTGCCCCTGCGAGGTGGGGCCTCTCCACGCTCTGCCTCCCATCACCTCCTTGTCCTCCCCCAGGGCTGTTTGTCATGGAGCACCACAGCCTGCCAGATGTCAGGTCCTCTTTGGTAACTCCAGAGCACCTGGGAGGCATCGAATTTGCCCTGCAGCTGCTGTGGAGCGCTCAGACTTTTGATTCTCCCTACCAGCTCTGGAGAGCAACCAGCTCCTACAACTGAGGTGAGGGTTGGGGGTGCAGTCCCCACCAGCAGATTCCCCCACAGCACCACGTTCTCCCTGGCACCCCTCCAGCAGCCACGCCAGCAATAGCACGGAATGCTCAGGAGCTTGGTCAGAGCTGGAGCACTGTTGTACTGAGAGAAAAATCAGCTCAGTCTCTTGGAAAGGAATTTTTCCAGCAGTGAAGCCTGTGGATAGACAGATCCCAGAGTCACACTTGTCCCTCGGGGACTGCTGGATGACATTGCTGGGGCAAGGGAGAGGTGCTGCCCTGGGTGAAGAGCTTTGAGCTCTGCTTGGTGACTGCAGAGTCTCCTGTCTGTTCCCAGGAAGATTTACTCTGGAGAATACACCATCTTCCTGATCCTCTGCACGGTGCAGCCCACGCAGCCGTGGGCAGAGCTTGGAGCCAAGCCCCTGCCCTGCACGGCTCACGCTCCCGAGCGGTAAGAGGGCAGGAGGGCAGGCTCGGCCCCTTTGGGGTGCACACCTGTCCAAACCTCATCTCCCCTTTGTGTCCTTCCTTGTCCCAGTTGCAGGTTTTTGATCCCGATCTCCTTCCAGCAGACAAACCGCCCACTTACAGTTGTTTACTCCCTGAACACAGAGTTTCAGCTCTGTAACAACGAGAAGGTTTTTCTAATGGACCCCACCAAATCAGAAAGGTCTCTGGCAGAAATGGATTACAAGGGGGCTTTTCCAAGGGTAGGATTTACCTCTCCTCTTCTGCTTGTACCCAGTGTTCCTGCTTTCACAGCTTCCATTCCCTGGAGAGGAAAGGGCAAAACCCACATGTAGCTTTGCCTCTTCTACAGCAGTAATTGACATCTTACAGCCCTGTGAAAGAACAGCGTGCTCTGGCACCACGTTTTGTCAGTCCCACACACCGAGCCCTTCCCAAACAACTCAAACCCTTCTGAACATGGACACTTGGCTCTAGCAGCGTTTTCCTGCTTGGGAAATTTCACCTGCCCCTCTTTGTCCTGACCTCCCCAGGGCAGATCCTGTACGGGCGTGTGCTCTGGCACCCCGAACAAAACCTCAACGCCGCTTACAAGCTGCAGCTGGAGAAGGTCTACCTGTGCACAGGCAGGGCTGGCTACGTGCCCCTCTTCGACCCCACAGGCACCATCTACAACCAGGGGCCCCAGTACAGCTGCATCCAGCCCCACAAGTACCTGAAACACCGATTCCTCCTCCTGGTGAGTGCTCTGCTCCTGCTTCTTCCTGTTTGGGATTTGCTCTGGCAACCAGCAGGTGGTGGCTGCAAAGGGATGAGGAAGGGAGCCTGTGGGGGATGTTTTGTGCTGCTGCTGCTGCAAGCTGTGAACACCAGATCAGTGTTTTCCCACGCTTTGAGTGTGTTCCTGAATCGGTGCCCACGTGTAGGTGTGGAGATGGGGCATTCAGACTAGATCCCTGGCACAGGTGTTTGGTGGGGCTCTGGCTTCCAGCCTCCCTTGGGAAAGCAGACAGCATCCCTCACGACACTTCTATGACTTTCCAGGACCAAAACCAGCCAGAAGTGACGGATAAGAATTTCCACGATGTGCCTTTTGACGCCCACTTTGCTTCCAAGCTGTCCGAGTTCCACTCGGTGAGCAGCATGCCCGGAGTTGATGGATTTACTCTCAAGGTGGATGCTGTCTACAAGGTATATAGTACCCAGTGCTTTTAGTAGCCCAAAATGGACTTCTCTGTCCAGGACCTCCCAAACACTTGGTGAATTGTAGACTCTGGGCCTTCAGAATTCACCTCTGATACAAGAAATGAAGATTAGGATGTTAGACCCGTAATTTCATTTTTTTTTTTCCCTGAGGCACTCATGAGAAAGCTCTTTAAAAACACATTATTCATGTTCCTGAACAAATTAATGCCATTGCAAAGGCAGGACACCTCATTGGGTGATCCATGCTCCCGAAGAGCTCCCCTTGAACACCGAGGTGGAGCTGCCCCAGGGCGCCCCAAAGGCGGCGGGCGGCCGCTGCTGCACCATCAGGAACCTTCATCCACCGAGGGACAGTGGCGGCCTCGGCCAGGGCCAGGGCAG